ATAACGGCGGGGGTATTTTTTATCCCAAAATGTAATGGAGGGTATAAGTGATCTATTTCGCGTAGTTCAGAGGCAAATTTGACCCTTTTCCGTATATTTTATCATCGTCTTCAATGAAAAACCCTAAGCAGCACATCAGGGAGCTGAGTTTTGCAGTTTAGGGTTTATTACAGTCTCTAATGGCTCCCGCAAAAGGTACATGTTTGAATCTCCTATTTTTCTCATTTGATTTATAATTTTAACTCCAATTAGATATACATTTTAGATTGTGTTCAGTAATAAGCTTCATATGTTGTTGGAAGCTTGAACAAAAGTAGTTTAATGGCTGAATATTCTACTATTTAGATTTCATTGTTGAGTTTCAGAATTATGAAGCTTGGTTGTGGATGTTAACATATTTGTTGAATAGATGGCTCATTTTATTTGTGGATTTGCTGCATTCCTTTGAAGTTTAAGGGAGTCATAGTTGTAATAATTATATTAAGGTTTGAGTATAAGTGATTTCTTTTTATTGTTTTTTGAGCTGAATGTGTATCGTAAACAACCTCTCTACCTTTTCAAGTTAAGGTTACGTGTCCTTCCTAGACCCTACCTGTGAGATTACATTGGGTTTGTCATTTTTGTTTGAATGCTAAGTGATAGAGGAGCAAGTTCCACCTAGAAATTTCGCAGGATTTTGGATTATATAGGATATGTTTTCGAGATAATGGTAGTGGTTGTCTATGCCAGTTTGTTCGACGAATGCATAGTATTTAGGCAAAGGGGATGTTAGGTAATGTAGGTTGTTGAAGAATCAAAACTGATTTGCTATATAAAATGGAACTATCAATGAACTTCCTATAGGTAGTTGCAGTTAGAAATCAGGTAAGATTTTGGCTTATGCTTTAAAGGATTTTTTTAAGATTATGGCGGCGGATTTCTAGGCCAGTTTGTTTGACTAATCCATAGGCTACCTATCTAGTTTTGGGCAGATGAGGATGGGACATATGCTTAGAGCCACAATTATTCATGTTGAGATAGTTAGAGCTAGCTGTAAGGGCAAACGGCTTGGTACTTAACTTGATAACCATGAGCGTTAACCGCAATGATGTGACTTTTTAGGTTTGACTGTAAATTCAGGTGTTAGATTTATATCGTTTACTAGTACTGTTTATCTACCTGGAATCTCGTGATGCAACAGAAACCGAAGTGATGCGAGTTGAAGTATCAAAACTGATTTGCATGAGAAAATTTGATCAATGAATTTCTGTTGCATATATTCCTGCTAGTAGAGATACCTGATCTGTTTTACTTAGTCTGGACTTGGAATTGCCAATGCAGCAGATGTGGTAAAAAAAGGTGACCCCAAAGCTCAAGCTGTCAAGGCAGCCAAGGCTGTGAAGTCGGGATCAACCTTTAAGAAGACGTCAAAAAAGATACGAACAAAAGTTACATTTCATCGGCCTAAGACATTGAAGAAGGACAGAAATCCCAAGTATCCCAGGATTAGTGCACCTGGAAGGAACAAACTTGATCAGTACCAAATTCTGTTGGGTTCTGAAGGGTGATTAGGGCGTCATGCGGAAACTTGCAATTTGAAAATCATATAGTTGATAAATCAGATAACAAAAAACTTATACTAAAAATCAAAATATTATTATATCAAAACTAATATAAAGAAAAAACATTGAAACTTTAGAGAGAATAAATCTCCCCATAAATAAGACTCTTAAACGACTACATTGTGGATGTTATTGTTATTGTGTTAGAAGAAACAAACCTATATTTATAGAGTCCTAAAACCTTTCCTACTAGAAAAGGAGTCCTAAAAGGAGAGAATAAACCAAATATAAAATAATATTATATTTTCCTTTCAAGAAAAGTAAAAACATTTATGGTAATGTTTTGTTTTTCTTTAAAGAAAAATAAATCTTAAATTATGGTAAGAAAATCAGGGCAAAACCCTAACAAATTCTTCAATGTCCTCTTACCACCGAGTCTGCAATGAAGAAAATTGAGGATAACAATACACTTGTATTTATTGTTGACATTCACGCTGACAAGAAGAAGATTAAGGATGCGGTGAAGAAAATGTATGACATCCAGGCAAAGAAAGTCAATACGTTGATCAGGTAAACTACTTTCTTCTTGCTCTATGTTTTTTGCCTTTTTGTTTGGTTAATAGGCACATTAGTGTTCTCTACTTCTCTTAGCCTCGAGTTCTTTAACAGAGAAAGGTAGCTGCACATCTCTATTTCGTTCACCATTCTCCCGATAAGGTTGTAGATGCCTGTGTCCAATAATCTCAAAAGCCTCAACCTTTAAGCTTAGTTTTGTGGTAATTTGTGCATTAAGCAATTTGTCTCATTATTCTGCATCTCCTAGTTTGCATTAACACTTTCATATCTCAGCAATGCTTTAAATTTCCCAGTATTATGCTGTTTCGAACTGTTCAGTCATATCTAAGCTCAATGGGTTTGTTATCCTGGTTCAGGCCTGATGGAACGAAGAAGGCCTACGTGAGGTTGACGCCCGACTATGATGCTTTAGATGTGGCAAATAAAATTGGAATTATCTAAACGCGTTAAATAGTTCGTATTTTCTGAGTATGAGAGTTAACAACTTGTGAATTGAAGGTACCCAAATATTGTTCAGTTTTGACAGTTGAGTTAGAAAATGTACTGTTCCATATAAGACTTCCAAATTATCACTCTTACGGCTCTCACAATGTATTTTCATCATCTTAGCATGAAGAAAGTCGAAGTGATTTACAAAAAAACTAGTTACGGTGAGAAGTTTGTGTTTGATCAATAAATTTTAAGAACACTTTACATACTTAACATCGATATTTGAACTAACGGAGATATTGAAATAGTAATATTTGTATATTTTATAAGTGTAATTTACTCAATTTTCAACTTTACAATTAGTTTTCTAAATTTAAGTTCACGTCCAAATTTCTTTTCAATTTCAATTCAAAATCACCTATCGAGACCTCAAAAGTGTCTAGAAAATATTTTAAAACTAAACAAGCAAAAGACTTGATACATAATTGGTGCTTCAAAGTTTGTTAGGATATTTCATTAAAACACTCCAGTTAAACTCAATTTCAATTAAATATCTCAATTCCTAATAAATATTTCAACTAGAGACTTTTAGTTCAAATTTTGATTTTTTTTGCGTGAATTATCATAAAGTAATTGAGTTAATCATATAAAATATTTTATTCTTTTTAGTTATACATATTTGCCTCAAGTATTAAAAATCCAATCACTTTCTACTTGAGGCAGGTATATAAGAAAAGGAGAGTCATATCTTGTATTATTAACTTAATCATCTTATAAACAAATGAAATGAAGGCAAAAATCTTTTTCAAAACCTGACTTTTATGTTTAATTTTGAATGTGTATAAATAAACACTTAAATTTGTATAAAATTAAATAAATAAACACATATGTTCTATGTGGAATCTTATCTAGCAATTTGCGTCCCACATGTATGCCACATAGGCCTTATGTGCCTATTTGTGTACATGATGTCACACATATATTATGTCACGTAAGTCTTATGTGTCTATTTATGTACATGATGTCACACATATATTATACCACGTAAGTCTTATGTGTAAAATTAGAGCATATAAATATAAAACGAGACTAAATTAAACAACACATTTATGAATTATTATTCAATTGAAGTAAAGCTTAGTTTAAACCCCCCAAAAGATATTATTTTCAGCCTATTCTCTGGTCCACTTTATTACATCATACAAACACCCCAAAAACCTCCTAAAACCCTTCAATTTCAATCCAATTTCCGCCATGAATTCCAACTCCACAACTCCAAATTTCGATAATCTTCTGCTCCAATCGTTAATGGGCAGACTCCAAATCCGTCCTCCTCCTCTTCCTTCATCAAACCCACCATTTCTTTCTCCACAATCACTCGAAGACCTTCTCTTCAACAACCTCCCTTCCGATGAAGACGATGATGAAGAAGAAGATCTAGACTATAACCTTAATGGATCCTCCTCGAAGTCCCAGCTCTCCAGAGAAGAATCCCGGCTTGAAAAACAGATAATCAGAACAATACTTACTGGAAAGATTGATTCATTGAAACCCAATTCGGGTCAGGCTGTTACGATTGGTGAGCATCATATATGTGTCGGGTTTCATGAAGACCCAGGTACGGATTATCGGGTTTGGGAATGGCATGGACATATTATGTTGTTTGATGAGGAAAATGGCTATACACCGGAGTATATTTATGGGAATTATTTTGAAAGAGTTAGTGTTAAGTTGACGAAGAAGAAGAAAGCAGAAGAAGAAGAAGAAGAAGAAGAAGAAGAAGAAGAAGAAGAAGAAGAAGAAGAAGAAGAAGAAGAAGAAGAAGAAGAAGAAGAAGAAGAAGAAGAAGAAGAAGAAGAAGAAGAAGAAGAAGAAGAAGAAGAAGAAGAAGAAGAAGAAGAAGAAGAAGAAGAAGAAGAAGAAGAAGAAGAAGAAGAAGAAGAAGAAGAAGAAGAAGAAGAAGAAGAAGAAGAAGAAGAAGAAGAAGAAGAAGAAGAAGAAGAGGAGGTAGAGGAAGTTGAGAAAGAAGAGAAGGTGGGGAATTTGGGGTTGAAGGAGTTGATTGAATCAGGTGAATCAAATAGTGAGGGGAGGATACTTCGTCGGAATATGAACGCTGGCACTCCAAGGTTGGTAGAATAACACTTTTCAGTCTTCTCAATTTGTTATATAATCTGCTGCTCAGTTTTTATACAGGGGGTTTAATTTACATTCTTTAAGGTGTTTATTTCCAGAAGTTTGGATCTTTTAAAGTACTTTTAGCATAGAAATGATAGCGCAACGAATGCTTTTTTGGGCATTTGAATGATTTTCCTCTTCTTTTAAGAGTATTGGGATTAAGTTAATCTAATTAGAGCTGAATTGATATAGAGAATTTGTATAGGTGACTCAAATAGTTTGGGATTGAGAAGATGTTGTTGTTATTGATATATTTTTCGGTTATGGAGTAATGAATTTAAGCTGCCTTTGAATTAGTTCTTCTCTAAAGGTTGAAAATTTACCAAAGATATGCACTTTAGCAGGTTTAATAGATACGGTCTAAAGAATATGGTTGTTGTTTAGATATACTTGAGCATTGTTATGTTTCTTTTATACCTAAATGAGATTTGATTTCATTAATTCCAATGTCAGCCTCTAAATCATAAATCTTTGCCTTTTCAGTTTGTTTTTGTAAGAAATCAAAAAATATGCCAGCTTCTAAACCTTTTAGTATGAATTTCACTGTTGCCTACGCATTTAGCTGTGATTTTGGAGTTCTTAACGATACTGACTACCAGTTTGCAAAAAACTGCATTTTTGAGACCTGGATGTTTATACACTTGGATGCCAAAGGTTTAGCACGAAACTCACTGCACGGTTGTGTATTTTTTCCCTTGGATGCTAGTTGATTTACTCATATGTATGAAAATAAACTAGTTTCCTGAAAAAAACTCTAAATTCAAAGTGTCGGTTGACCACTATGGTATTGCTGCTCTATAAAGAAGGAAAAACTTTTATTTTATGCCTAGTTCTCCAAGAGGCTGAAGTAGGATGAATAGCATATTGCGCAAGCAACTTCCAACTCTTGGTACTTTTATGGTCCCGTAATATGGTTGTTAAATTATCAGGAATAGGCTGGGATTCGCAAGGTAAACTTTCTATGCAGTACTATGTTATATTAACATGCTCAGCTACCTTTCTAGTAATGCAATAAACAGTGTCTTGAACTCTTAAAATTTACAATAATATTATGGAGTGATACTGCCAGAAACCAAACTTTGAACTCTTCCTGATCCATGTCAATGGAGTATATAACATTGGTTCTCTTAGAAATTATTAATAGGCTTCTGATCAACAGCGTGCACTTAGAGGAACTGTTTTGTTTTTCTTCTCTGTACCCTCAATCAAAACGTCTTTCAATTTTAGAATGTTCAATATTCTTAATACAAAATGGGCCTATTGAGACAGCAAAAGTTTTTATGGACAAGATAAGGATGGTACAAGAAACACAGTACTGTTACCAAAAAGTATACCTATAGAGCAGCACATCTCTTTCTACCATGACTTTTAGAAGACAGTGTTATTGAGGTGATACCTTAGGCTGCAATTCATAGCAATAAAATGTTCTAATGCCATTTCTGTTTTTATGCCATCTCTAAGATCGTAGAAGTGGTGTACATTTTTAGTATTCTTCAGTTTCATCTGATATTCTGATCCTTGAAATGTAAAACTAAGACCAGTAGTTATTTTTAGTAAGTGATATAGCTTTTGTTGCGGGACTAGTTCAATCAGTACTGCTTCTACTTCTCATCATGCTAAAGTATTACAGCTGATTCATTCATAAGAAAGAGTCAAAATGTTGGAACTTTATAAATAAGATAGCTTCAGAGCCTCCCGCATCCTTTACTGAAATCAGCAAACTATCCTAGTAATATTTGTCATTGCTAGAGATTTTCTCGTATGTGTTTATTAATCTGGTTTCATCCTTCCCACATTTCTCTGTAACAGCCTTATCAAGCATTTTGGATACCTCTGTTACTTGCTTCCTGTCTTTCCGTGCTCAGTGCAGTATTCATTCGTATGCTATGCTGTTTTTCTTTGACCAAAGTGATTGTATCTTGTTGCTCGAAGTTGATTTCTGCTTTGTTATTCTTTGGCAGTATTTAATTTAATAACAGTTTTGCTGCGACATATAGGTGTGTTGAATATGACTCTTTGCTCATCTTTATTCTATTCATTTTGATTTAATTTCCATACCTTCATTGGCAGGGTCTAGCTTACAGGCTGGTGAATTTGCTCTTTTGCAACAAAGAGGTGCTCTGCACATTTCGCCTTGGCTGGATGGAGGTTTTTTCATCTTCCCATCTCTAATCTATTTGGTAGTTGAATGGCATACCAAGTAGCTTGGAAAGTTAGGAGAACACAGGCTTCAATTGAAAGTTTAGGAGAACACAAGCTTGTATTGAAAGTTAAGGAGCTCAACGCTGAGCAGCGTGGAGTTGAGACTACTTTTCTGTGATAAGACTCTTCTGTTAAATTCTCAAAGCGGTTGCCCGTGTATATTGGGTTGATCACAGATTATAAGATATTCAATTTCTGAATGTTGATTGTCACTGAACATCTTTTTGGGGTGTTGGTGTGTTGAGTAACATGTTTTTTGACGACTTGTCTCTGAACTAGTTTGAGTATGTTTTAACTATTGATAATACTTTTTACTATGCCATTTTCTGCAGTTCTTTTGTGGAAAGTTTAGCTGATTTGTGTAATCTTACGCTCTGCTGCTTTAGGGGATAGAGTGTTTACTACCAGTTACTTGGTCGAAAAATAACCAAGATATAAAAACTCAGACTCTAGTTCAGACCAAAATGTCCAGACGATCGAATTTTTTTTGACTCATAGTCCCACAAATAAGGTCAGGAGAGTGAGGACTGAGGTGTACGTAGAGAAGTTGACTCCAATGGCCCTATATGACAACATAATTATTGGGGGAAAGAGTTATTTTGAACTAAATCCTACTAAATAGTTTAAGTCAGAGGATCCAGAATCCTTAAACAACATATTCAGAAGTGAACAACTATATTCAAGTACAATACAATATCGTTCAACAAAAATGCTATATTGCAATCAAATATTTCACTAGAGTCTGTGGTCATTGGCCAGTATATGTGATATTGCAATTTGCAATTGAATATTTCATTAAGATGCACGACAGTCTCTGATCATCATCGACCAGTCCAACCAACGGTCTTATTTGTCGTAATCCCAAAATTTAGTGGATCTTGTGGAGGTGGCGGTGGAGCTCTAGGCATACTTGGCTTTGCAGGGTCAACGAAAATTACCCAGCCATCCAAGAACTTGGCGTTCATTCCTTCGCGAGCCTTTTCTGCTTCTTCTATTGTTTCATAAGAAACAAATCCGAACCCCTTTGATCTCCCAGTTGCTCTATCAGTAATTACTTTCGCTGTACATCAACACATAGCAAAAAGATTGGTGACTGTTTATCACAGATGAATCGGAATCTAGCAAAATAAAAGAGAAAGATGAGAAGGAAATTTCTTATTATTTACCTTCAGTAAGACATCCGAATTCTTCAAATGCCTTTTTGAGGTTCTCATCACTAGTGTATCTTGAAAGCCCTGCACCAATGTTGCATCAAAGGGAAAGACAAATGAAAAAGAGCTGAGACCTAAAATGGACCATCTATTCACTTACTTTTAACACTTGCATACAGCAAGTTTCACTATAGTCAATTATTACTTCGTCACAAAGATTTCCCAATTCTGCTTCCTAATATGTGATCCTCAACTATTTTTTTCTTGCTTTGAAATTGTTCAACATAGAAGGGTTGCAAGGAAAAACATATTTAATTATAGGTAAAAATAACGTCTGGGTCTCAACTAGCACAACCTATACATAGATACATCATAAAAGTTAACCATGTAGAGAAGTGCAACTCTAGTAGTATGAGGACAACAATAGCAGCACCTAACACCTGTAAGATAACTTGAACCACCATGACTACTCTAAGAGAATATTGAGGCTTATGTTCTTCTAAACAATATACTTAGGAAACTGAGCCTCCCATAATTTCTCAGATGAACTTTTTAAATTACCAAAGCTTGTCTAACAAAATTTGTACTTATACATGTGCACTATAGTATATTTACACTTATTTTTGAGCCGAGGGTCTATCGGAAACAACCTCTCTACCCTTCCCTTCCCAGACCCCACTTGTGAGATCAAACTGGGGATGTTGTTTTATGTATGTCCTTAGAATTTAGAAAAACAGTTCCTAGCACATGAATTACTAAGAAACTAGCGTCTTTTCAGAAATACTAGGGTGGTCCAGAAGTATGGTCCTAAAATTAATATATCACGCCAAGTTACTTCCTTTTTCCCTAACAACCAAGAAATCTCCAAGTTAAGTGGCACACAGTTCAAAATTTAATTGATAATGGGCCCACCCCGCCACACATCTCTGCTTAATCCCAACTTTTTATACATAGCAGGATTTGAACACATGTTGTGCACCTGACCCACCCGTGATTTTGACTGTAACAAGATTCGAACCCATGATGTGCACCTAACTTACATTACGAGTTGAGCTTGTGCCACCCGACAAATCCCCAAGGCCATGCCACATTATGCTTTCAAGTAATTTAATTCAAATAAAATGCATAACCTTCCAACTTTCATTTCCTTAACTTTTAACCACGTTAAAAAAGAGTATTAAATCTCCTCCGATCTTAGTAGCTCAAATATAAAGAGTGGTGAATCAACCAACAAAACATACTGCATCTACATATGAAATCCTAAATGTATGTGAAAAAGCCCAGTATGTGATTTCCAGGCATAAAAATTCAAAACTAGATTACAATCAAACTAATACTTGCTCTCAATAACTTAAGGTGTCAACTAGGAAGAGGTAGAAGATGGAAATAAAATCCTTGTCCAGAAGACACTGCAAGTGCATTACACATGGATAATCGGCATACTGCCATGCTTGCAGATCACCTAAGAAATTGAGATACTTTTCATATCACTTGCACTTTATAATTTCTCCAAGCCAGTTAATCATAGAAGGCAAGTTTTCTTACAAATCAAAGTTCAAAGCATAACCATTCGGAACTAATAACTTACTGCACTAACTTTCAACAAAACTAGAAACTAGTAATCACCACAGCTTCCACGCATCCAACTCCTTTTCGACGAAAGACCACAAATACAAAAGAAAATACCACAAGCTGATACCGAAAGAATTTGTTTATATGTATCAAAACTAACTCCATACAACATTACAAAAACTCAACCTTTATCTCCTTATATATCTTCATACGAACTGAATGGTTTTTAGTTCTAATGGTGTCGATATCACTAAATAATTTTTTTAAACTGCAAATTACAGAAATTATTCATAACAATCATTCAATAACTATCAGGAAAACAGATTAACCAAATCAGCACAAAAGCAGTACTTTCCTGAATCCAATGAAAGTAACTAAAAATTCAAATTATACTAAATCTCAGAAATATCTTAGACATGAACATAAGTAAAACTATAAGGTAATCACAAGACTTGATGTGTTTATGCACATACCGCTGACAAAAAGCTTTGGACTAGTGAGTGTTGAATTCAAACGAATTGAAGAAAACTGTGATTGAAGAATCGTTGAAGATCCACTGAAAATGCGACGAAATAATGCCATTTTAACAATAAAGTAACGATTGTTGTGAACTGATTGTAGTTCTGGGGATTTTATTGGGGCAAGGGTTTAGGGTTTTATGATAGTTGATAGAAATGAATGGTGAATTGTAAAGCTTAGGGGGTCAATTAGTTGTTTTGATAAAGTAGAGGACCCTCCATGATAAATAATTAAATTAAGCCTAGAAGCTTCGGGAACTGAGTTCTCTCTCCTCCCAATCTGCGTATAATTTGACCAACGTGGATTGTGGTGTTGTAGTGAATCTGTTTCACTCTTAATCAGAGATCTCAGATTAAGAGTGAAAAATTATGTAAGCGCACACCTAATAAGTCCAACTCCTTCTATGCCCCAGGAAAAGGCGAAAAGTAAAGCAATCATCAAGCCAGAGCTGGTTTTACAGCTATCGATTCGCACCCGCGGGTCAAAGAAGACTAATTCAAATTTAGTTAGAGCTCAATGTAAATTTCACACACCAAGTGAAAAATAAAAAAATGTATAATTTGGAGAAATAAATATTATAATGTAGTTGAAGAAAGTGTATAATTTGGAGAAATAATATTTGATTGAGAATAAGTTATTTTGATATTAATTATTTTGAAATAAGTTATTTTTATCATGGGTATGAGATGACTTATTTCATCCCTATGATATAAATAGTGAGATAATAGAATAAAATACTCATACAATTTATCTCAAGATTACTATACTTTATACTCATCACACCAAACGACTCCTAAGATATAAATAATCGAATAAATAATCCAAGAACAATGTAATACTCACAACTAAATACATATTTCTTGTGTCCACTTTTGATTGTCATGTTGTGTTTTTCGAAAGTTAATTTGACTAATTTTCAAAGTTAAATTGGATTACATTAATTCGATATTTTAAACAAAATATTTAGATATTCAAAAACTATACGAAAAGTACTATAAATTCTAATTTTTTGCATATCAATATGATGAAAAATTACATCGTAAAATATTAGTCAAATTTTTTATCGTTTAACTCTAAAAAAGAAAACTATGACAACTAAAAGTGGCCAAAAATAGTGCTTAATAAATTAATCATGTGTTATATCCGAAATTATTATACTTTATCTATCACGCCAAACGATTATATAAGTATTAAATACTCTATAATATTTTTTTGTACACTTCTATAAAGCAGTCCAATGCCACAGCAACAACACTAATCCCATTCCACCTAAAGTTAAGCTCAGCAAAGACACCTCTCCTTTAAGCTTCTCTGAGAAAAGAATGGCCGCCGCAGCACCTCCACCGCCGCCGTCGCCTACCCCCGCCGTCATTTCTGAGGACTTGCTTCCGACTGGCTACAATGTCTTTTCCCGAATTCGTCTTGCCACCATCGTCGACGTTCCTCATATCCACAAACTTTGGATTATAATTATAATAAATAGTTTTAACACACACAATGAATTATAATAAATAGTTTTAACACACACAATGAATTATAATAAATAGTTTTAATCCCGAATTCGCCTTGCCACCATCGTCGACGTTCCTCATATCCACAAACTCATCCACCAGATGGCCGTGTTTGAGCGACTCACCCATCTCTTCTCCGCCACAGAATCTTCACTTTCCTCCACTCTCTTCCCTGAAAACTCCCCACCTCCGTTCACCTCCTTCACCGTTTTCCTTCTCGAAGTTTCTCAAACCCCTTTCCCTCTAATCGACCAAAACTACCCAAATTTCAGCCCCATTCATAAAACAGTAAATCTGGATCTCCCGATTACCGACCCACAAGCTGAAACGTTCAGATAGTGTGGAAATGATGTTGTGGTTGCTGGGTTTGTGTTGTTGAAGTTTCTCAAACCCCTTTCCCTCTAATCGACCAATACTACCCAAATTTCAGCCCCATTCATAAAACGGTAAATCTGGATCTCCCGATTACCGACCCGCAAGCGGAAACGTTCAGATCGTGTGGAAATGATGTTGAGGTTGCTGGGTTTGTGTTGTTTTTTCCTAATTATTCGTCCTTCTTAGCGAAACCTGGGTTTTACATCGAGGATATATTTGTGGGAGAGTGTTATAGGAGGAAAAGTTTTAGAAAGATGTTGTTGTCAACTGTGGCTGCTCAGGCGGCGAAAATGGGGTATGGAAGAAGAGAGTGTTATAGGAGGAAAGGTTTTGGGAAGATGTTGTTGTCAGCTGTGGCTGCTCAGGCGGCGAAAATGGGGTATGGAAGAGTGGAATGGGTGGTTCTAGATTGGAATGTGAATGCGATCAAGTTTTATGAAGAAATGGGAGCTCAAATTATGCAGGAATGGAGGGTTTGTAGGCTGACTGGTGATGCCCTTCAAGCCTTTGCAAATATCAACATTTGAGTTTGAAATTGTCTTCAATTTTACACCCAATACTACTCCACTGTTATGTGTGTGGATGTAAGTGTTATCAGTAGGAATTAAATAAAGAATTTCACTTGTTTTTGCAATTTGATCTTTTGTTTCAGCTTGTGATTCTGTGTTTGGAATGATAGTTTTACTTCTATCTGATTAGGAAGGTTTATTTCCAGCATAAAGTTTCTTCCTTTGATATATGCTTTACTTGAGTCCATGGTCCATCGGAAATAACCTCTCCATCCGTACCATGAGTATAATTGCGTACACGCCCCCCTCCTCAAACCCCATCAATGAGATTACACAAAATATATTGTCGTAACAAGGCTACTTTCTGTGTATCCACTTTGAACCGGCAAATATGCTTTAGCTGCTAAGCTTCAAAACAACCCATAGGTTTTACTTCGAAGTAAGGGCTCCTACTTCGAACTCAAACTGAAGCCGAGGGCTTTTACGTGAATGGATACTCTGAGATGGATCGAGAAAAAATGAATTTGATTAATTCAACTTATAAGACGTTGGAACAACTAGTAAAACGAAACGACTTAGTTTGAACAACGAAGGGTGATTAATCAAGTCCAACAACGAAGTTTCTAACGAGCCTTAGGAGGAGCTGTAGGAACTTTTAATAGATGTTTGAACAACACGAGCTACATTTTGATGTACCATTAGTGTCAATATTATTAGGTTGCTTAAAGAAAACGTAAGCAAGCAAATTTCATGATAAATAATTTCTTATTTTAGGTATAGTTGCATAACAAGAATATATTTGGGAAGTTTGTAGAAGCTAGACTTTGACAAGAATATATTTGGCTTTGGTGATGATAATGAAAGCAGATGAAAGCATAACTATGGTGGGCGGGGAGGATCAGTCTTGAATGAACTCAAAGCCCATCGCCGCGCACGGCAAATCCAAGATTTTCGCTAAGGATTCAAAATATGAAAATAACAAAGTAAAGCACTGAGTCAACCTAGAAGATTTTTAAAATATCTTAAATATACAATGCAATTAATTGTCGAAGGGGTTCACATGAAATACCTCGCTACACCCTAGATCCACCCCTGCTTGCCAACCTTGACTTTCAAGTGGGTGGCACTGACCAACCAATTATTTCCCAAAAAATAAAAAATCCATGTTTAAATTCACATTGAAAACTAGGATTTTGACTCCTTGCCACACAAAATGGAACAAAGGGATTGCTACAACAATATCAATAACAAATTGTTACTTCCTCTTTTGTTGACCCAATCACTACATATATTCAATAATTCATCACATCAAGAAAAAGCTTATGGCCCTGTATAAGATATGTATCCTACATTACTTTCTGGCAAAATTTTCTCTGTATGCAAATGTACAATAGGAAACTACCACTGCGAAAAGAAGGGGTAAAAACGTTTGCCCCCACGCACGCATGATAAAAGGTCAGCATGCCTCAAGGACTTCAGAAGAGCAGTTCCTCAGCTGCTCTTTTATACATCATCTGAAAACTAATCTATAAAACCGATAAACTACTTTATGAAAATATAGCGGTAAATAACGAATAAAAAACCCTTGTCCTTGCATCTAAGGATGATCCCCATAAGGTCCGTCATCAACATGGTGTACCTCCAGGAACACCTTGCCTCATGAACTATTCAATCACCTTGAAACTCTAATTCATCAGCTAGAGGTGCATTTTGCAAGTTCTAAGGTACCGAAGAAGCACCACTTTCTCTATTTCCAGCTCCATTTCAGATCATCGAGTATAATAGACGTCTCCCTCCTCCTTAAATATGAGGTGTGTGCAAATATGTAGCAATGTAGCTCCTTGCGCACATTCTTCACATAGATGAATTACAATTCATAAGATGTCTGCTGCACTTCCTTCTCCAGCATTGATGTCCCATTGAATTCCGTCAACGTGAAGTCTCTTGAATACTCCAGATACTGTTAAAACAGTTCTAAAATATCAGCATAGAACTTAGTAAGATTATTTATCTAAATGGCAAAATAGATTGGGTAGTAGAAACTGGGGAAGCACACCAAACATTGTTTAGCCATATGCACAAGAAAACTCCTGACAAATATTAACCAAACCCAACTTTGATTCCTCATCCATGACACTTTGACACACAAAGGGAGCAATTAGTTTTATAGGCTATGAAACTCCTCTAACTACTGCCCTCCACTAGCAATCTGTCTTGTGGCCATGCTTTGTTCAGTAAGGCATAAATTCAGTTCAAAAGAACCCACTCACAAAAGGAAGTCAGCTTGAATAGAGGGAATGCAAAGACTTTTTAAGCTTATGTCTGCTAGTATTTCCAGACCAAATATTCCGCAAATTGCCTTATGGCAACCTAAACATCCTACAGCTTGCACTTGCTCCAACTCTTGAATCAGCAATTAGAAATGGACTTACGTTCATAACTTGACTTTAAATCTAGCATCCAGTAGCCTCAAACATTATACAGCTTAAAATCTAATCTCCATCTTTTTAAGAAAATTGGATCTATTATTTAACTTTTTAACACTATCATCCATGATGCAAAGGGAGAATCAGATAAACAAGGTAAAAACAAATGATCTGTCAATACTAATATTAAAGATCCACTCACGCGTTCATCAGTCATCTTTCTGAAACCCAGTTTATTTGTCCAGATGGATTTAGCCTCTTCAGCAGCTGGCAGAACCAGGTTTTTAACATGCATTGAAGATAATAGAATTTCAATAGATCCAAATAACGCCCGAAAATAACCCTTCAAAGGAACAAACATAAGGATCATCAGCTTGTGTTCCACAAGAATAGCTTACTTCCCCTAGGAGTAAAGCTTCAGAACCAGTAAGCAAAACCACAAATAAGCACAGCAAAGGAGTCTAGTCGAGCAGAGCTTACTTTGCGTTGGTTTTCTCTACTTGTAGCCACCATAGGGAGTTCAGCAACCTCTTGCCCAAAAATCCTGAGAAGAGCAGCTGATACAACTACTGACCTGTATCCATTTAGTCACATAATTAATGACTCAGGAAAGTAGATTAGTATGTAACTTCAGACCAACTATAAATACAAAATCTTGAGAAGGCACTGAAAAATAACTTAAAATCAGTGGCTTACTTCACAATCAAAACGATGCAATACATTCCCCCAAATTCTTGACCTGAGATGTTTCTCCTACATTAGACAGGAATACAGGAATTAGAGAAGTCAAAGTGTGTGCAATTCAAATAGAGCAAGTACTCGAATTTTGGAAGCAAACGGCAAAATAACACAAGCAGGCCAAAATATCCAAGCCACAAACAGAAGAGCTCTAAACGATTGGGAAATGGAAAGATTAGCAAGCTTGCTTAACTTTTTAGAATCCCATATCCACACCCCCAGACCTCCCTGACAAGCCTTGGTGGAAACTCAATGGAAAGGGCAACTTCTGTGAGATCTACTAATAGTAACCTCAACTACAAAACTGGCCTGACAAGGATTTGGCCTCGGAAACTCATCTGAAAAATCAAAATTCCACCCAAGGTGCCAGTTTTCACCTGGCTAGTGGTTAGAAGAGCCTGCTTAGCTCAAGAAAGATCACAGATAAGAAGTTTCCACATTTGCTCAAGATGTCTACTGTGTGGTAAAAAACTAGAAAGCAATGAGCACCTCTTCATCCACTGCAAGATAACTACACATCTGTGGCACATGTTCTTTTGTATTCTAGGAGTTTCTTGGGTTGTTCCCAAAACCACTTTTGCACTCCTTAGTAGCTGGAAAGAAGTTGGCAGATGAAGTGGTACAGAAAACTGGTGGCAAATTATTCCACAGCTTGTATATGGTGGTCTATATGGAAAGAAAGGAACTCTAGACATTTTTATTTGCCTCAAGTGTATTCTATTTTTGGTGTAAATAGGATATTTTTAGTGATGTAGCAGACCTAGTAGATCTGATAGGAAACTGTTAATTCTTTAGACCTTCAGCTACTGGCTGATCTCTTCTTTTGTTTTTTCTTTGGAGCGAGCTTGTACAGTTCCATCAGCAACTTTGATGCTGATCTTTTGGATTTCTATACAAGCTATTACCTTTCTCTCAAAAAAATCATTAAAATTTAACAATTGCATGTCATGTGCAAATAATCTAATTTTAGAGAAGATTAAGAGATGTATTAGGACAACCTTATCATTTGACTTATTTATATCAAATATATATGCTAATTATAGTAAAAGAAAGAAGACAATTGGATAACTTCGGTAAGTGAAGGCAACGCGAGAACTTACAATAAGACATTCCAGGACTAACATGATGCATGATTCTTTCTTTTGATAGGCTAGCAAATTAAGATCAACATTCAACATTTTATTACGTGGTACTTTTTCTTTAATTTTTATTTCATAATTCAAACATACACACATATTAAATTGTGTATTCATGGATGTAAGGGACACATGCAAAGCGCATACCTTGGAACTAGTTGTCCTAAATGGAGACTACTAAAAGATCAAACACGAGAAAAATTGCCTGTCAGATTTTCTAATACAGTTCATGGACAAGAAAACAAAAAAGGCAGAGTCTCTAAGGAAACTTGTGGTAACACTAGGGTTATAACTTGTAAGCAAAGGAATACTCACCCATAAACCATAACAGGTATAAGATCTCGTCCAGATTTGGCAACAATAGGATCAAAGCACTCCTGCACAGAAAGACAGAGATGACAATTAAAATTAAGTAAGCAACTTGAATAAGGAGAAGTTTGACGCATAATTCAAGGATAAATTTTCAGATACTCAATTAATGAATAAGTGGGGACAAAGTGCATATGGAAATTCTTCTTGTTACACCTTGTATCCTTCAATGAGCTGGTTCTACTCCATTAAGACTCAATTAATCAATTTTTTTAATAAGTAGACTCAATTATTCCATGATGTGGTAGTTAAAAGGATTTATCTGTTTCTAACAATGGTGTTGCTGGTCAACCTGGCATTCTGTCGAGATTTATCGAGTTCAAGAATCTTGGTGATGCACAAGATTATACTTGAGGATTGAAATCTACAGTAATGTTCAGTTATCAGCAAGTTTTTTCACCACCATGCAGCATTAAGTAGCTTTACCACGTGTTAAAACATCTATGTCCAATTGTAGCAGTAATGTACAATCTCCATTGATTCAGATTTTCGGCAAGTGTCCTCTTTATGATCCGAGATGTCGAAAAAAATTCCAA